GTGTGTGTGTGGCGGGGGGGGGAGGACAATCCTCTGAAAATGTAGAAACCAGTCTTAGTTCACAGGCATGGGCTAGATTTAATCCATGGACCGTAACTTGCCACCCCTGATCTATACAATTGCTAGCTTACACTTTTATGAATATAATGCTAAGCAGATTTTGGTGTTCAGCAAACATTCTTTTTGTTTAATATGCCATTGATACATCTCCACTTGACTAGCTTAATGTTCCCAACCTGCATGAGTTGTTAGGTATAAAGTGACAAGCTCATAATCAGCGGTGGGATTGGCTCTATATCACCTGTCCACCCAAAAGATACACTTAGTCTATCATTGTGACTTTCTACATAGGCGTCAGGATAAGAGGGAAGCACCCACCACGCCCTCCACTGTTGTATTTTGTAGAACAGCAAGTCAGCAGAATCCCAAGGGAATCCATGGAGATCTCTCAACTCTTCACCTCATTGGCAAAATCCCCCAACACATCCTGGCTGACCCTGAGAGTAGCAACAACCAGTAGGTGCCATTTGACCAGGGCTGATGTGAAGTCCCTCCCAGACTGCAAACCCTGCTGAAGCAATTCCCAGAAGCCTTCAGGCTAAGTGTGGCTCTGGGAAGGCCTCCTGACCACAGCCCCCTGCACTAGGGCCTTGGAGAGTGTGCCCTGGAGCTCATTACAAAGTGGGGCACAGAAAGAGGTGCTGGGAGAAGGATGTCTTCCCAAAGACAAATAGGTACTAGTTCTAGCAGGTCTCTTCTCCTCCTCATTTTCCTTCTTTTCCTATTTTTCCTTTTCATTTAAGGCTGAAATTGCTTAACTTGACTTGAAATGGCATTACTATGAGGCGATGAAGCCATATTTCTCTGAGGTAGTGCTTTGTTGGAGGGACCTGTTCCCTGTTCTCTCTCCAGTGCTAATGGGCGATGAAGGAGAGGAAGACATTCCAGGTTAGAAACAAGGTGTTATGTTCCCAGACCTGGGGCAGGTATCTGCAATGTTAGGAGATGCAACTCTCCCGCAGGGCTCAGGGTGAGGCCTCGAGTAGTAATGGGTGCAGGACTGACATGAAAGAACATGGAAGGATCGAGGCCAGTAGTAGCACCACTGTCCACGCAGGACACAGAAAGGAAGGCTTGGGCCACCTCGGTGTGGCAGCTTCCCTTCGCTGCCCCCTGTCTGTCTTGCTTCATTCACTTCTGTCTATCTCCTTTCCTTATCTTTTCCTCTCTCTCAATAATTCTAAACTCCACTTCTTGCCAAACTTATAGGCAGTGACTGACGTTGGGGTGGGATGCCCTTACTCCTGTGGGTGCCAGTTCCCGTGGGATAGAGAGTGCCATGCATAACCCTAGGTGATAAGGCGGAGTTTCCCTCAGACCCTTCATCCCCTCCCCATATCAGGCATTAGGCCTGATGCTGCAAGCTGGCCCTTTTGCCCCCACCCCCACCCCCCCAGCCTCCAGGGACGCAGGTAAGGTGAAGGCAGCTCAAGGTCCTTCCCAAGGGCTTTCACCCTCTGCCCACATTGCTGTCTTTCTGCTTTTTACTGTTAGTTCCAAATGAAAGATACAAACACATGAGCAGCCACATATTAAAAAGAGCGGGTAGTTAGGAGTGGTGTCTGGCCCCTCACCAGAGTGCACCTCTTCTTACCAGTCTACTCTCACTCCCTGACAACTTACAACCCTCTGACAATTTACCAAGCCCCACGAAGTCACCTTCTCTTTCTCTTCCTCTTCATCCTTCATCTCTCGTCTTTGTGGCTTTTCCCTTTCACTTCCCCATAGGTTCTTCAAAGCCTGGATTGATCTCATAGAGTCAAGCTGGTTCCAGGTCAGCATTAAGCAATGCTAACCTGATGCACAGACCTCAGCTGGGTGAAAGGTTCCTTCTTCCTGGTGCTCCTGCTTTGTTTCCGGCCCACCTCTCCTGGGACTCATTCACAGACGCCCTCTAGTCTCTCATCATATCCAGGAGCCTCACTACCCCACGCAAAGGGTCGTCTCCTCCCACGTGTGCTCCTGCTTTTGCTGCCACAGCCCCATGCATTTGGAATGCCTTGTATCAGTGTGCTCAGGCTGTCCTGGCAAAGCACCGCAGGCTGAGGCTTAAACAGCGGAGGTTTATTCTCACAGTTCCAGAGGCTGGAAGCCTGAAATCCAAGTGTCAGCAGGTTGCTCCTCCTGAGGCCTCTCTCTTTGGCTTGCAGATGGCTGTCTTCTCCCCATGTCCTCACATGGCCTTCCCTCTGTGTGTCTGTGTCCTAATCTCCCCTTCTTAAAAGGACACCAATCAGATTGGATCACAGCCCATCCTGATGACCTTATTTTAACCTTAATTACCTCTTTAAAGGCCCTATCTCCAAATACAGTCACATTCTGAGGCACAAGGTGTTAGGATAGCAACACATAAAATTTGGGGAGTCACAATTCAAACCATAACAATTTCCTTCCCACTCTCCTTTTAGCTCATAAAAATTTATCCACAATTCTTTTTCCAGGTCAGATGTTTAAATTCAGTCCTTCCTGAATCCTGTCTCCAAATAGCCACAGCAATTGTCTGTAAAATGCATCTGGCAACCAATGGTGCATTTTACTGTGATCTTTCTGTCATTTATAAAAATCTATATTTTTCTCCCTTTTAAATTTACTTTATACTGTAGCTACATATGTCTATCTTCTCAACTAGATTAAAACTCGGAAGGGCAGAAACAGTCAAATTGTTTTGTATGATCCTAACAATCCTCAGCACCTGGGTGGTCATATCTGGGGACCAGGACCCCTCGGAGCAGGCAACAAGAGAGGGGACAAAGAGGGACAAGATCCAAGCACTAGCTACAGGCAGGGACTGGTAGAGCAGGTCCATGGGACTTGGAAATACCAAAGTGACCCACCAGGAAGGCTCAGGTAATGGTTGACAACACTGGGCTTCTTAAAAGTCGCACTGAGATTCTCATCAGGGGTGCAGAGCACAGCAGTGGGAAATCCCAGGTTAGTGCCATCTAGAGTAGGCAGGCCTGGGATCCCCCAGGAGACATCTGCATCCAGGAAAACAGAATGCCGTCACTGAATGAGACAGACCCTAGACCAGTGGTTGGCAAACCGCGGCTCTTGAGCCACATGCGGCTCTTTGGCCCCTTGAATGTGGCTCTTCCACAAAGTACCACATGCGGGTGCGCAAGTACAGTGCGATTGAAACTTCGTGGCCCATGCGCAGATGTCGGTATTTTGTGGAAGAGCCACACTCAAGGGACCAAAGAGCTGCATGTGGCTTGCGAGCCGCAGTTTGCCGACCACTGCCCTAGACCTTGAGAGAGAGGTGAGACAGAGCAAATGGGATCAGGAACCAATGTCAGAATCCAGGCCTGGGAGATGGGTCACCAAGGTGCACGTGGGAGGCTGTATCACCACAAGTCCCCAATCCGGCAATGGGTAAGTTGTCTAGAGTAAGGTAGTACATCAGCTTCAGTCCAATCTAGAAATGAAAAGAGGAGAAATCATGTGACAAGGCAGGGCCTACAAAAGTATAAAGTGTATTGAGGCCAAAGCCATCCAAAAACAGGTTTGAATGAGTGTAGCAATGGTTTATTGATTTATAAAAAACACACGCAAACACACACACACACACACACACACACACACACACACACACACAACAACAACAACAACAAAAAACCAAAACAAAAAAAACTTGCCTTTCTTCCTCACTCTGGTCCCCATTCCTTTTGCTAAACCCAGCCTTATCTTTCATAATGAAAAGATTTCAGCTCGGCAGCTTGGCTAATTAATGTCTCAAGGGTTGGGAGGGCTTTGCTTGGCCCATTAATCAAACGCTGAGCATCGGGTTGAATGCTTCTCATCCACAGTGCCGCTCCCACCCAGGCGCTGTGTCAGAGCAGAGGGATTGTCATCGTAAAGAGCAGGGAAAGAGGGAGCATTGGTAGATGGGGAGGTGAGTGAGCCGCTTCGATCAAAAATAAAAATGCCCACATTTAGTTTGATAAGTAACAAGAATATTAAAAAGTAACCCATAAAGTACTTTAAAGAGCAAAACAAGCAAGTATGATAAATATTTAAATAACAATTTATTGTTAGTTTTCTACCTATATTTTTAAAGAGGGTAAACGTTTATTAGGGAGCAACTGAATTAAAAAATAGGGTCTCATGCTTGCTTTTGTCTCCAGCAGCTCAGCAGACCCTCTGCCTCCCTTTGCTGAATGTCACACTCAACCCTGATACTTAAACTTCAGCACATGAGTGCTGACATTCTGCAACAGAAATTTTGTTTCAGCTTTTCAAGCCTGAATCCAAACACATGCTAATGCATCAGATGTGGAGGAAGGAATGCTGTCATAAAGATGTATGTGTGTCTGTAGAAAGAGAAGTAATTCTGACCATTGGAAAACACTAGAGTATCTGAAACAAAGCTTGGGTCTAAAATCATCTCAGGAAGTAGGGCTGAGCTATGCTTGGCCTGGGTAACTGTAGAAGTCAGTGTTTACAAGATAAAACAGCAAATGTCTAGTCATGAACCATAGGCAGTTTTAATTTTAGCTGAATTGAAACCCACATCATGAGAGCACCCGCTTTCAGTCTCAGCTCTAGTTTCAAGTGCTGTCGGTGAGAGCCCCAACATTTCGGTGGATCCCTTGAAATGATCTCCAGGGCTCTTCTGGGCAGGTGGCTTGACAGGAAAGTCCATTGTGTAAGCTCAGCCCACCAGGACTCAGTCTGCCTTAGGCTGTCAGCCATACTCAAAGGCCTTGTTTGGCAGGGACCTGTCAAATGGTCTCTCGTGACTCAGAATCTCATACTTATTTTAAATGGAGGGGAAAAGTTACTTTCAGGGATGAGGTTCTTTGCCCAACTCTGCTTTGTATAAACACAGCCTATGTCTATTTCAGTCTTCTGGGTTTTGAGAAGCAACTGCTGAGTTATGGCAAAGGGTGAACTGGTTGGTGTTGACCCAAATTAAAACGAAGAGTTTTCCTTTCTTGCAGCGCTGGAAGAAGGGAGACAGCATCATCGCCTAGGGAACAGAATGTGACTGGCCTGGAAAACAGGGAAATGAGTGTGGGCCTCGATTTACAAAGAACCAGCTCTACCAAAGTCTAAACTTGTAGAAATGGAGGCGTTGTGTCTGGAGTAAGAATTTTTACTCTACGGAAGGATAACATTTGGGTCATGTTGATGCATGATGCTGTGTATGTGAAAACCATGGATGTAATTCATTACAGGTCATTCTGCCTTGATTTTGAAGGGACAGACAACCATTACATGCAGCCTGGTGTATGCCCCCGGGTGCTGTCCTTACCACCCAGCAAGGAGGGTGTCCAGCCCGGCCCCTTTCCTGCTACCCACAGTCAGGAGCCTGTATGTCCACATGGATGTACTTGTTTATCAAGCATTCATCTAAGACACAAACCTAACATATTACTATTGTCAATGCTGGGACAACAGTGATTTTAGGAGTAACTGTGAATACAAATTTTTTGAGAGTCAGCTCCCCCCTATTGTGCCCCTCAAACTCTAGCATATTCACAGAAGTAAACAAACAAACAAACAAAAAATCCTTGCTGCAAAACAAAATCACCTTCTGCCAAGGGAAGCTGCCATAACACACAGCGGGTCTGTCACTCATTTATCCATCTGTGTTATCAGTAAGGGCTCCAGGCACAGGTCCCGAGAGTGGAGGACAATGATGGACACATGTTCTTCATGACCAAGGCTCCTGTGGTCTGTGGGGAGTGCAGGCAAATCAATAATTATAGCAGAGAGTGGTAAGTGTTGTCCCCTGGGAGTTTGGTGGAAGGCACCCACCAGCCTTGGAGTTAGCCTTCCCCAAAATAGTGACCCCTGAGTTGGATCCTGGAGGACGGAATGGAGTGGGACAGAAGGAGCTGCTCCAATCAAGGAAGGAGTGAACCTCAGGCATGTGCTAGCTTTGCCACCTCCTCCGTTCTGTTAGGGCACGCGGAAGTCAGTCTTGCTTAAATGGATGGCCACTTGGCTTTGCAAACCTCATCCCTCAAGTTCCCTTCAGACCAACCACACCTGCTTTCCTCCTCACTCTTTTGTTTTGTTTTGTTCTATTCCAATGAAGAATTGAGGACGAGCCAGTAAATGATGAGTCCAGGGGTTTTTCTGACAAAGCTCCCATGTTCAGCTTGGCTGAACACAGAAAAGTTTATTTCTTTCTCATCATGCAAAAAACATTTGCTTCAACAAAAAGTGGCTCACTCATAAGAACAAACAAATGTTTTGGAAGTCTTAATACGCAAGTCTTATGTGCTATTACTTAACGTTTTTAAAAATTGAGAAATCGTTTTTTAGTGAGAAAACATTGTGCAGTAAGCTTTAAGAGAAAGAGTATTTTCCCTACAAAAAATCTAGAAAGTCATTGTATCATTCCAGTACCCCAAAGGCTGGCTGGCTCGTCGTCCATCGCTGAAGGGTCAGTATCTTTGCTGTCAGAGTGAAGGGTGCCTATCACAGCTCCAATGCAGCAGAGGTGGTGGGAGAAACGGAAGCAAAAGTGAGGGCCTTGGAGTTGCTCCTTTACAATCAACTAGCAGTTAGGAAGGATGTGGCTTTCTGGGGCTAATAAAAACAAATTTGGAGGCTTGCTTTGTCTTTGAAATTAAAACCGTGTTTTAGTAAATCCAGCTGATGCCATTTAAACATGAACCCTGTGCCATTTCCTGGCTTACTGCAGCTTTTCTGTTTCTCTCACCATTAGATCTGTTCAAAAGAGGAACGTGGCATTTCCACGTTTCCAGAAAAGCAAATGTGAGCTGACTGGCCACATTTGCTGTTATGGTTTTCCTAGAGCCCTTATGATTGTTGTGACAAATAAGATCCTTGTAACGTACAATTTCTAACTATACCGTGTTTGTGATTTATGCCCTCCTCCAGGTTTTGGTATTTGGTCAGTTGAGTTGATCTTACCCCGTTCCCTCCATGTTAGAGTTTAACTGTATCATGCTGAGAGTTTGGTGTGTGCTCTATGCTGAAAGAAGAATATTCTCCTGAGTCAGATAAATATGTTCATGTGAGAGAATTGCTATACTTGAATTTGCTGCAGCATTTTGTATTGATGCACATATATGACACCCAGGCTGACTCAATGGCTTCTAAAACATTTAATGTCTCTTAAATGGACTCAATATCCTTGGAATGTGCTGTTTAAATATTTCTGAATTTTCTACATGCCATTTTTACAGGTCCATTTGTTTATGATGTGAAGTGGTAAAGAATCAATCACTTTCGTTGTGTGTGTGTCTGAAGAAAATAAATGTATATATTACTAAGAAGAAGAATAAATTATTGAAAAATATACTTGATGGATCATGCAGCCCACTGTTGAAAAGGAATTTATTTTATTTCTTTAATAAAGTGATTGTTCAAATTATAAGCATTTATATTGTCCTTCTAAATATGGATGCCATAATATTTAAGTGTTGTTCAATCTTGATGTATGTTCAACATTGATATATGTTCAACATTAATGTATGATCTCTAATAAAATATTTTAAACCTCTTTCTTTAAACACATATTGCCCAGTTCTTTAATCACAATCTATTGTTACTATGTCTGTTGAAAGTGGAGTGGCAGTTGGTGTCTTTAGCCAGCTAAATGGAGTAGTTTGTACATAAGATATTCAAGTTGGCAGCATTCAGGGTTCAGGTAGGAGCCAAAATACAACTGCATTTAGAGTCAAGGAAAGATGACAATGAAACTCAGACATACAAAAATTTTGAATGTGTTCAAGGCTGAATGTATTAAGTGACCCAAAACCAAAGCAATAGGTTAGGTGAACGAGTGGTCAGAGAAGGCCATGGGCAACACAGTTCAAGGGGAGTTTTACTGTGGAGATTCTAGTCTGACCATGATCTCAGAGCCTGGAAGCCCCAGCACCACACCTTCAGCCCCATTCCCTCAATGGGACGCCTTGGCAGTGTGGTGTCATCACTGGGGACAAGATCACTAGAGTCAAATTGTCACAGGTTCCAAATTCTCTCAACCATTCACCACCTAGATGATTTCAACACAGAGATCCCATACTCCTAACACTTTAGTTCTTTCTTCTCAAAAATAGGGACAATTACTGTATGTCAATGAGAGGGTTGTGGAGATAATAAAATGAAGCAATGCTGCAGCAAATTCAAAGGTTTAGAAAAGTGCCTGATATCTAGTTAGCACTGAGAAATTACATGTTGTTCATTTTCTTATTGATCTTGCTGGTTTGGTTGTGGCTGTCATTTTAGCTACCCCTAAAGATAACATTACTTTTCTGGTGATGAAGAATCATTATTTTTTTACCCAAAGCCCTTAGCATCTAAGTCAAGTAATAGCATCACATCTATACTGATTTGGGTTTTGAAAAATGATGTCATGTCTTGTGGGTGCTCAGCTGGTCATAATCCAGGCTCAGTTAGCGTGACTGTAGCCTCACTCCATGGATCCCCACAAAAGGTGGGGAGTGGCAGGCAGATGGAGGGTGGGAGGGAATCCTAAGATACACAGAAGTTTGCAATTGTCCAGCCTTTGTTTTCATGGAGCTTGAAAGTGGTAAAACTAATTTTTAGACTAATATCATTGGTTTATCCAATGACTTTCTTTAACGTATTTTTTGCCTCAGGTTATAGACTCTGGGAGAGAAAGTAGAAATATTGTTAATGTTAACACTCATTGGTTCCTATGAAGGAAAAAAAATTATTTAAACTATGGCCATAATAACATTAGGGCCACGTCTCTGCTGTGCATTCTACTGTGACTAACACTGTGGAAAGCCCTGTTCTAACGGGTTCAAATGCATCACCTCATTTAATGTTCATCATCCTATAAGGAAATGCTAGGAATCAAATTAGGGTGCATTTGGTTGGAAGCAACAGAATACCCATTAAAAAGTGGCTCACATTGTCTTATGTGACACAATTTGTAACACTATCCTATCTAATAAAAGAGAAACATGGTAATTAGTCGTACATCCGCTACTCTGCCCATTGGCTAACCAGGGCAATATGCAAATTAACTGCCAGCCAAGATGGTGGCTGGCAGCCAGGCAGCTTGAAGCGAACATGAGGCTTGCTTGCTTCAGTGACGGAGGAAGCTAACATTCCCGCCTGCCGCTGCCGGCCTCTGAGCTTGCAGTTTGAAACTTTGTTACAAATATAGAAGCTAAACAAAACCCCAGAAACCTGCTCTCAGCCAGCTGGGATCTCAGAGCTGGAGTTGAAACAGTGTTTCGATTATAGAACCCAAACAAACCAGATACCTGCTTTCAGCAGTGGAGGCCTAAGAGCTGGAGCCAAGCCTCAGAGCTAAAGCTGGCCCAGATAAAAAAAAAAAAAAAAGAAAGAAAAAAAGGAGCGGTTGGGAGCTTCAGTTACCCGCCAGCCTGAAAACAGCCCTCAGCTCCTCACCCAGACTGGCCAGGCACCCCAGTAGGGACCCCCACCCTGAAGGGTGTGTGACCAGCTGCAAACAGCCATCATCCCCTCACCCAGGCTGGCCAGGTACCCCAGTGGGGACCCCCACCCTGATCCAGGACACCCTTCAGGGCAAACCAGCCGGCCCCCACCCGTGCACCAGGCCTCTATCCTATATAGTAAAAGGGTAATATGTCTCCCAGCACCTGGATCAGCGGAGCCACGAGGCCTCCTGGCACCGGGATCAGCATGAAAGGGGGCAGTGCCCAAACCCCCTGATAGCCCTGCGGCTCTGTGTGTGACAGGGGGTGGGGCCACAACCTCCCTATCTGCCCTGCTCTGTTCGTGACAGGGGAAGGCACCCCAACCCCCTAATCGGCCCTGCTCTGTGACAGGGTGCAGTGCGCCAACCGCCCCCGCCCCAAGGGCCCTGCTCTGTGTGTGACGGGGTAGAGCCATAACCTCCCCATCAGCCCTGCCCTGAGTGTGACAGTGGCGGCGCCCCAACCCCCTGATCTGCCCTGCTCTGTGTGTGACAGGGGGCGGTGCCCCAACTCCCCTATCGGCCCTACTCTGTGAGTGACAGGGGGGATCTCCCCAACCCCCTGATTGGCCCTGCTCTGAGCCTGACCAGGGGCTGCACCTAGGGATTGGGCCTGCCCTCTGCCACCCAGGAGCAGGCCTAAGCCAGCAGGTCATTATCTCCTGAGGTGTCCCAGACTGCTAGAGGGCACAGGCCGGGCTGAGGGACCCCCACTCCCCCCCGAGTGCACAAATTTTTGTGCACCGGGCCTCTAGTCCTATACAATAAGAGTCTAATATGCAAATAGACCAAATGGTGGAACAACCAGAAAAACTGGCCACTATGACATACGCTGACCACCAGAGGGCATGTGCGGAACATGGCAGGCGTCAGCTGTGGCGGGATGCTGGAACAGGTGATTGGGGCACCAGACCAAGGTGGGGCGCTGGTCACTGTCATTGGGGCGAACCTCTCGTGGTTACTGAAAATTCTTTGTGCCAGAGCCACTGCTCACACTCTCTGCTGGTGCCCAGTGCCAGTCCCAATCGCTTGGCGCCATCAGTGGGTGTGAGCAGCAGCTGCTGACCTTGATCATCCTTAAGGGCTTCTTCACCTCCCCTTGCTCCTGAGGGGCGATCGAGGCAGCAGCTACTGGTCACACCCACTGATGGCACTTGCTGCTAGTGCCGACCCCAATTGCTCTGCACCACCAGCGGGTGCGAGTGGGGCCAGTGTTGTCAGCATGTAGGAGCTATGGTGGCAGGAGGGGGACTGCCAGCAGACAGGGGACTTGGAGCTGCAGCAGGAGGAGCCGGGCAGGGGAGCGGAGGATGGGCTAAGACCCGCCCCTGTGCCTACTGCAGCCTTGTGGCCCACACTTCCTTTCAAGGTACACAAATTCATGCACTGGGCCCCTAGTTATCAACAATTTTGCATGAAAACATTTATTTTTGAAAATGGTCTGCAATCAAACTACCTGGGTTTGAATCCTATTCTATGAGGTGTCAGTAAATGTTTAGCAGCCAGCTCTCCAGAAAACAAAAACAAAAACAAAAACAAAAACAAAACACACAAATAAACAGAAAAAAACAACAACACAGAATTTGCAAATTTGTCAATTCCTGTGGTGTAAATTCTCTTACAATAACACATATCAAGCTACCAACTTGACATCATTGAACATGTGTTGGGGAGAGATGTACACAAACATGTCTCTGGATCCTGTACGAGCCAACATCAGCACCCTACTCCTGCCACTTAGTAGTATGTGGCCTGAGCCTACCTGTATGTTAATTTCCTTATCTGTAAAACGAGATAATAGTTACACCTTCTTCATTGGAATAATTCATGTAAAGAAGTCCTGTGCTTCATTCAATCAGTAGCAATGGATGCTAGTTATCATTGTTATTGTTAGTTATTGCTAATATAGGCACAACACAGAAACCATCTCAGAATAGAAAAGTGTTCATCCTTACTCAATTTCTAGAACAACTCTTCTAATTGCGATCCTTCTTCAGACATTACACAGCATGACTCCTCATCCCCACCCACAATGAGTTTGTTCATCTCTGTTTCAGACTCTAAAGTTTTTCTCGAAAATTCTGTTTCTTTGCATTTTTGCTTTAAATGAAGTACTTAATGATTTTATGAACCAGTTTTCTCAAAGAGTCTTTTAATGCCAAATCATTCTGCCAGCCTACTATTTTCTCTCCTGTTTATAAATGCAAATGCCTCCAGCATAATTTATGAAAAATAATTATTCTGTTGTGTAGGTGGACAGAAAAACGACTACCCCCATACTCACTCCTCACTTTATTCTTATGTTCTAATCCATACCCTCCTTTCAAAGATAATATAAGCATATATTAAACTAAATAAATAAAAGTGCCTCAGTATCTGGGGTTGGGTTGAGTTTTGGGGTCCTGAGTGGCACCACACCCACCCTGCAGTTCTCTTCTGTGGGAACACTATATGTAGAAAGATAAGAGCCAATGGGAAGAAAATACAATGTTTATTTATTCCCAGAATAGCTCTATTCCACTCCAGGTTTCTTACACCCACTTAATTGATTCTAAAATGTCCAGGTTTGAGGAGTAAGGCACTGGTAGGAAAGCTGACATTGAAGCATAAGTGTGGCCACATGTGCTTCTGGAATGGGGTGAGGTATGGGTGGGCAAGAATGAAATCCTGCCCACTGGGGATGCAAGGCCTGAGAACCACCAGCAAGAATAGACAGTTCTCGGTTTTGCTGGTAGGAGGCAGGGGAGGGGTCGTAAGGACAAAGGACGACAGTGAAACAAGGGCAGTATCTTCTCTTTGGGCAAAAGCACAAGGATAGAAGCAGACATTCTTCCCACCCTCCCCACATAAATACCATATGTGGGTATAAGTTAGAAATTAATAATTCTATCCATGCTATCGCAAATTACAAGATTTTGTTCTTTTCATGGCCGAGTAATATCCCATTGTACCACAGCTTTTTTATCCATTCGTCTATTGATGGACACTTGGTTTGCTTCCATATCTTGGCTATCATAAATAATGTTGCAATGAACATGGGGGTGCACATATTCTTT